CGTAATCAGGCGGATGTCATTTTCTCTCCAGCATGCCTCTCTAGACATATCAGCTGAGTGGATGCTCAAATTGCTGCAGCTAAGAAACATCCCTCACCAAGGATTAATCCCCCTGCTCCTCAGATTATTACCGGCTTAGCACTGCTCAATCCTTGATATACAACAACAAGCAGAGGGAAAAACAAGAACAACAAGCTGAGCCTCTGATGCGGCACTGAAAAAAATAACTTCCAAATGTACAGTCAGAGAAGGAAGTGGCGGAAAAGGGTTAAAGTCAGCCTAATCACATTTCTGTGATTTTACAATCAGTAAAAAAACAAACTTCTCTAAATTCATCTTTTGAATATCTGAATAATTATAAAAGATATTCTTTAATCAGTATTCATGTTTATTCCTCCAGTATAAATCCTACTTATTAAAAACACTTTTATAGAAGTTAGAGGATCAACTTCAGCTTTTTACTCCAGTAAAAGTATAAAAGTACCATTTTAAAAACTACTTAAAGTATAAAAGTCATAGTAAAGCAGGAAAAACTGTTAAGGACATTGACTTTACTGCTCTACCCTTAAAGGAGCATTTTTCTACCATTCTGGATGATAACTTCCTTAGATTTAATTTTCTTAGTTTTATAACTAATAGTAACAGTGTCACATTTAACTTTGCTTCATCTTGATAAAGGATTTATTTTGGTTGGTAGTGAGCAACAAGTTGGGGCAGCACCGAGTCCAACCACAAAGAAATTAAGTGTCTGGATGAAACTAAATATTTTGATGGTTTTTATTTGTTTTAAATACCAACAGGCCAGAATGAAAATTTACTTAAATGAAACAAAACTAATGAGGTTATTTTTAAAATTTAAGGAATAGAAGGAAAAAGTTTTCTAAATAAAGAATTACTCTAGTAAAGCATAGATAGCCGAGATTTCTACTGAAGCAATGAAGTATTTATACTTTGTTCATTAACACCTTTATTAATCCAAATAGAAAAAAGTGAGTGATGGTAACGTGTCTCCAGGTTCTACTGAAAAGGTAAAAGTCTGCAGACAAGCCGTCTGCTGCAGAGCGTCTCCAGCAATAAAAGCTCCGAGCGCAATGCAGGAGAAACGGTGAAGCCAGGATGGGAGAGAATTCCAGAGAAACAGGAGATCTTGGATTTATTTTGGAGTTTTGTTGTTTTTCTACTTTCTTTTATGCCTCTCTTTAATAAAAACACCCTCCAATAAGGTGTTTATAAAACAGACATTTGATGTAAAGAATCAGCGGAGAACAACAACTCCATTAGGAGGGAAGGATCTTTATTAAAACACACAACTAAAGAACTTCTTTACCAATGTGAAGGGAAGAAAAATGTAATCCATGCATTTCCTGGCCTTTGCTAATTAGCTCCAAAATAAATAAATGTAATTAGCACCAGGAACAGTAGTGCACTGCAAAAACCATCTAGAAATAAGTAATAATTCCTTAAATCAAGTATATTTATACTTCATTTTAGTAGGTAAATAAGATTAAGTGCCAATTAAATAAGTATTTTTACTCTTAAAATAAGTTAATTAGATGCTACGTGCCTGTAATAAGACAATGCAATTACCTTTTCTCATTTTAAATGTTAATTCGTGTTCCATTGGCATAGTGTTTTATTTACCTCCTCAATTCAAGACAAAATGCACTTATTTTAAAAACAAAATGACTTCAGTTCATTTTTTGCAGTGTGAGAAGTTCAGCATCCTTTCTTTGCATGCTTTGTGTGCCAACCGTAATGGTTGCTAGGCAACAGAGGGAATGGGCAGTGAAAGCTGGAGCAGGCTGGACCTGTTTGAAGCCATGGCTAAACTATTCTGTCTTCCTTATTTTCAAGGACTTCAAGGACCCAGTTCAGGTAGACCGGGTCCGAGTCCAGGTAGACCGGGTTTTTAGAGGACTATGACTTCGAACACACCTGGTGGTGAAGAGGTGTCTACAGTTTGCAGAGGAGGACGGACCTAAGTCGTTATCAGAACAAAGATCCAGACTGCATCAACACAGAAATATGAAAACATTTCCATCTGGTTTCAGAAATCAATCCCCCAATATTGGAACACCTTTCATCGTCTCCGTGGCAACGGAGTCTGTATCACATCAGAGCAAAACGAATAAAACTCTCAAGATAAAAACACTTCCTTTATCCAACAGTTTAAGATTGTCATCCTCATTCAACATGAAATTTAAACCTTGAATTTTAAAATCCTTTTTTTCTATTGAGAGTGACAACAAAGGTTTTACAGTAAACTGCTGAAATGTTTCCCAGTCTGATCAATCATTCTCCAGATTGATTTTAGTCATTAGATAGAAAATACACTTTATTCATCACTTCATTAAGAAATTCAACATCAAGCTTTTAATCTTTTTGCTTTGCTTCAAGCATAAATGCCTGTTTTATTCATCAGTGAAAAGATGATTTATTCCAGTAACTCTAAGAGAAACATATAGATTAATTTCTGATGTTTTCATGTCTTTAAATCTGTTAATTAGGACTGAAAAAAACATGACATTCAAGAGTAAAACACTGCAGCCAAACAAAGCGCATGTTTAATAGAGAAATAGGAGCTTCATGAAAGTATACTTCAAACCATTAAAAGCCTGTTTGAAAAAAAGTGCTTTAAGCTGATAAAGGAGCCTCACTGTGCGTCATATTCCACTGGGTATGATGCATTACGTGTCATTGGGTAAATATTACATTTAATTAGTTGTTTTAATTGATATTATGTAACATTAGGCTGTGTTTGTTTTTTATTTTAAAAGATTGTGAGTTATGAAATGATGAAAATGAAAGATAATCATTAAATGTTTGTGTCATTTGTTTAGACGTGAGGATAAAAAGTTTGAAACTTTATGCTGCAGCGATGCAGAGTTAAAGCTGCTCTAAATGAAGAAATTCAGTCATGACAGAATAATTATTAATAAACACTCCACCTGAAAATGAGCTTCCTCCTCAAAGATGCAAACCTTTTATTGAAATGATCAAATATTTCTATATTTATGCATCTTTTTGGGGTTTTGCTCTTTTGTCATTTTGGTGTAAATTCATATTTCTTGTTTTAACATAAAACCTTGATCAGTTTGAGTTAATTAAATGGATTTTTTAGCTTTGCATTTATCCTATTTAAGATGCTGTGTATCCTATTTAAGATTGGACTGTTTTCAGCATAAACCTAGATTTACCATCCAGATCAGCCACAGTCACAGAAAACCTTTGCTGCCCTCTTGTGGTCGGCGTGAAACAGAAACAAGGGCAGAAATTGTTTACCTTAAAGGAATTAATGAAATTTGTTATTTTTTCCTTATAAACAAAAACATGATGGATCACAGTTCCAAAAAAGTTAATAAAAAAAAACAATCCACTGGACTCGGGTTCAAACTCAAAGCTATTTCTGACATTTTAAATTAAAAAAGCTTCCTGGATGGGAAGACACATGTCTTCAAACATGAAAACCAAGTCCAGTGGATTGTTTTTTTTAACTTTTTTGGAATGACGATGACCTGGATGACTGAGAATCTTCACCAGCATGGTTGATCTCAGGTTAAGTGGCTGGAACAGGGCGGGTTATTCCAGGCAGGATTATGAGGAGGGAAGAAACTAAAGAGGGAATATAGAAAAGAAGTTTATGAAATAACTTAACGTGTAATGGAGACATTTCCTCACATAAGCCGTAAGCCATGAGGGTCTTAGGAGCCGCTTCAGCATGAAACTACATATGTGAATGAAATCCAGTTCAGCTCCCAAACTATAAATTGAAAATATAATTGTTTGTATTTGTGTGACAGAAAGGCGTTGATGAATATTTTTCAGGTGGAACCACTATTTTAAATGTCACAATGTCTGATTTATAGGTGATTAAACATTAAAAAAAGAAAAATATTTAGCCTCGCCAAAATTTTGCTCCAAAATAAACTGCAAAACACCATGAAAGCCCATTAGAAACCCTGGATTAACCCTCAGACTTTATAGATCCACATCTTCACTAGAACTCAAGATAATTTGGACTGAATAAGTTGAAGCATGTTTGTTCCACATAGGTTTTAGTGAACAGAGTGCAAGGAGGAAATGGGATTTTTTTTTTGCAGAATGCCAAAATGTATTTTTCCACTCATAAAAGGGAATCTGGTCAGACAAATATTATATCTGATTTACATTATTGAAGACCTTCTGCATAAGACAACACTGGCAAAAACAATCTAGAAATAAGTAAAAATTCCTTAAATTAAGTGTATTTACCTTTAATTTGAGTAGGTAAATGAGATAGTTTGCCAATGGAGTGAGCATTTTTACTCTTAAAATAAGATAATTAAATAATATGCACTTGAAATAAGACAATGCAATTGTGTTTCTTATTTTAAATATAAATTGTCTGGTTCCATTGGCAAAATGTCTTTTTTACCTCCTCTTTCCAAGATCAAATTCACTTATTTTAAGAAAAAATGACTTATCTAGATTTTGATTTTTTTTCCAGTGAAAGCCTTTGCTCCTAAGATTTAGCCGTTGTTTCATTGAAATTTACCAATAATATCTCCTTGGAAAGGTCTGAGCCTCTAGTTTCAAAAGATGTCGGCCATTAGGTAAAAAAATACCTGCTGTTGCATTACTCCTGCAGAGTCACACATGTCAGGTGGAATTTTAAATCTCATTTTACTTGTTTACACAGCTATAAAACAGAAAGTACTTGCGAAAAAATTATTTTGAAACATGTTTTAGAAATTTTTAAAGCCCCATTTGAAAGGAGTGTGGATGAAACACCATGTGACTGTGATTTGGCCATTTCTATAAATAGATATCAGCTGGTGTCAGTTGGGCTGGTACCGGGCCCGCCGGGCTCAAGAGGTTAACCTTTCTTTTTAGGTGATATAATAGCTCTACAATCATCCAAATATGAAACCTTTTCAGCCCACTCCTAAATACAAAAATAGAAAGCTGTAATGTATTCCAGTGTTGGAAGGTTTTCCTGCTGCAGCTGCAGTGGTACTGACCTCCAGTAGATGAAGATGCCCATGAGGACCACCAGGCCCAGCAGAGTGAGAGACGAAATGACGGCCAGAGGAACCACAGCTTTCCTCTCTCTCTCCCCCATGGAGCCCACCCTCAACTCATGGCTGCTGTTACTGGCATCTGGGGAGAGGAACAAAGGTGGCTGGATGTGAGACAGAGAAGGTGAACTCTATCTCTGACAGACCTCTTCTTTCTTTAACGTTTAGATATCAGCTAAAGTTGGTCCTTATACTCTGTGTAGAAGGCATGATTTCCCAGCAAAGGGCTTGAAGGGTTCCAGAACATCTTTAAAAAATCCCTCCCAGAACGCACCCAACCAGAGCAATAACAGCGACATGTGTTCACACTGAGCCCAAGGCTCCTTCATTTGGACTGGTATGTCTACGAACTATAAAACATCCTCCGGTTGGTGGTTAAACGGTTCTGGGATTCTCTGGGATTCTAAAGAACCTCCCTGTCACCATCAGCCTGTTTATCTGCAGACCGTGCCGCTGTTCTATCAGACCAGCATACCTATGGTCAATACGAATGCGCAAGATGTTCTTATTTGCGTTTATCTCTTTAGTTTTGTACAAAAAATAAACTTAAAACTACCTTTAGTCATCTACCAAAAAATTATTTAAGGTCAGATCGCCATATGCTTCAAAAAACACCAAAAAGTAAGTAATTAAATAGTTTTTTTGAACATGACTAAAGGGACTGTGGAGTAAAGAAGCTGGGGCAGTGGCATTTCTTGCAAAAAATAAGGTTGACATTTATTTAACGTCCTCAGACAGAGAAATAGATCTTTCTGACTGCGGCAAGCTCAGTATATACATTTATACCTTACAAAATAACACACACTCCGCCCAGGGGAACCAATCCACCCCCTGCATAAAGAACTTTCTCACACTTAAACATCGAAGCAAAACAACTATGAGTTCATCAAGGGCGTTAGCTGTTAGGTTCATATATATTTCCCTGGCCAAAGATGGATCTTCTGAGAAAAGCAGTCCTCCCCTTCATGCCAATAAGGAGGCTGTGTAACTCATTCAGATCTCATGACCTTCGTTTGGAGCCTGTGAGGCTAAAACCAGACATATCTTAACATTTTTCACTCCACAGGATACACACCTGTTGAGGTAGTTTAAAGTGCATTTTTCGTGCAAAACTAAAGGGATAAATGGGTATTGACTATGGGTATGCTGGTCTGACAGAACACCGGCTACCCTCTGCCTAAAAAGTGGATCAGAGAGCTGCAGCTGATCCAGAATGCTGCTGCCCGTGTCCTCACTAAGACTAAGAAAGTAGAGCACATCACCCCAGTTCTACAGTCCTTCCACTGGCTCCCTGTATCTCAGAGAATAGACTTTAAAATACTTCTGTTAGTCTATAAATCTCTGAATGGTTTAGCACCTAAATACATCACAGACTTGCTATCAGTGTATCAACCCTCCAGACCACTCAGGTCTTCTGGCTCCAGCCTGCTCTGCATACCTAGAACCAGAACTAAACATGGAGAAGCAGCATTTAGTTCCTATGCTCCACTTATCTGGAACAAACTTCCAGAAAAGTGTAAAAGTGCGGAAAGCCTGAGTTCCTTTAAATCAAGACTAAAAACACATTTGTTTAGGATTGCCTTCGACTGTTCTAGTTAAACAGTTCGACTAAAACATATTTTCTTTAGTCCAACTGTTTTTAGCCTTCTTTCTTGTTCGGCATTTTTTTTTTCCTACTTGCTTTGATTCTGTTTTATTTTCCTATATTTTAATCATGTAAAGCACTGCATTGTCTTTGGACTGAATTGTGCTATACAGATAAATTTGCCTTGCCTTGCCTTGCCTTGCCTTACCATCAGCAGACTGCCTCCCAGAACCTGAAACCAAACTGTCTGCTGCACGCTCACCACCATTCAGTGTGAAAATGAAGGTGAGGTGGAGAAACCAATCCTACAGGAAGTCATGACAACGTTTCAGTAAACCGCAGAAAACAAGCCGAGCTTCTTATATGCCACAGATTGTGAGAAGTTTTGAGCATTATGCCTGCTCCAGGAGGAGCAAACCCTCCTCCTGGATGAGCATGTAGTTACAGTGGACAGGCGCTAGGATTGGGTCATTGACTCAGCAGCAATCCCTCACTCTGAGCATGCATAACGTTTCATCAAAGTCGGAGGTTTACAGAAACTAAGATTTCCCTTTGCCGTTAAGATGATGATGTCACGACTTTTAAAACCTCTAATATGCAGATTTCAAACATTCACCTCTAAGACCCTCTAAGAGTTTCCGTAAGTAATGCTATTAAGGACACGGTGCTCTGACTGAGGACAGATATTAATCTGGACTTTTTTCATTTAGCAAATATAAATGATTTAAAGTCAGAGAGTGAGGAAAACATGATAAAACTGACAATACTTCAGCTGGTTTATTCCTGCAGTACACTTTCAGATGCTCGCCATGGCAACAGGGTGAATACTTCCTGTATGACCTGGAAGGTAACCCCTCCTGCTCTGATGGAGGGAAGGGTTGACCGACCACGGTGGATTAGTTCTGATTGGGAAAACAAAAGGGGAAATCTTTTTATTCATCTTCCTTTAAAACCTGCAGTTTCTGGAACTTACAGGGAAAAACTTTGTCAGAGAACAGGTCATTAAAGCAACACTGAATACGTGAAATAGGTCAATTCTTGGTCAAAAGTTACACAGCTTTGCTTTAATGATGTGATTTACAGTAGCAGCCATTCAAAATGGCCTAAAAGCCAGCCGAATGACAGCTAAATCCCCTCCAACTTCCAGCCACCGCAGTGACCCCCTCCTGCATTTTTTTTACTCTGACTCCTCCCTTTCACTGAATTACAGGGTCTGACCAGCAGATGGCGCTTCTCTTTAGATCTTAATGTCCACTAATCCTGACAGAAAGATCATTTTAGTACAAAGATTGATGTTTAAAAAGGAATTGTAGGGGACCAGCGAAGGGCCCATCAAGGAAAGTGGACATTTTAAATAGCCACCATTGTATTTTGTTAATGCTTCCTGAAACTCTGCCTTTGTATTCAAAGGACAGATGAGACATTTGCTAAAGAGGTTTAAACATATTTAAGATTTCTAATAACTAAACCCGTTTCCCCAGTTATCAACCATCGGCGAAGTTGGATGAACTTAAAAAATCTATCCAAATATCTACCACAGCAGGTTGATGATCTGATAGGATGGAGCTCTAACGCCCTCTGGTGGCCCTGTCAGGTAAGGCTAGAGCTGTACTGGTCATTTTCTACCTTCTTTTGGCCTTTAAAACAGCAACAAACCTGTTGGACATGTGAATGTCTTAAAGTGAAAATGTATACACTTTCATAGATAGATTTATTCCTTAAACATTTTACAACATTTTCATCTCTGACAATTAATTGATAAAAAGGTCTGTTTTAAGCATGTTTCTAAGCATGAATCAAAGATAAAACACAGATTCATAATATAGATAATGATGTTCTTTGTTGTTGGGTGTAAATATGTTTTCCTTTATTATCTTTGCAGATCAAAGGTTAGGATAAAGTGAGTGTAGGATGTCCACAGATCTTGGAGCAGCTCTGGATTTTGCTGCTCTCATTGGTTTCTCATTCATGGACGATTTTTTATTTTTATTTTTTACCTGAAACAGGCTCTTCCTCCTCAGGATCTGTTTCTGGGCGTCCTGAAATACTGAAGTCAGAGGATGTCTCATTGTCCCCGAGACCCTCGGCTTGCCCTGAGCCGCTGTCCTCCGGCCCCCCCAGGGGCCAGGTTGAACCTGAGGTCACCTCTGAAGCGGTCGGCGCCGCTTTGCCTTCCACTTCTGGATCAATGGCGCTGCCGCTTTCAAAATAAAAGGCTGAGGAGTGTTCTTCCACATCATCTGGATTCTGACCCGATTCCAGGGTCATGAAGGGAGGGAGAGAGCTCACCACTTTGGTTAAATGAGGGAGGGGGCTGACGCCGGAGGCTGATGTTTGACCCTTTTCCCACTCCTGGTCTACTCCTTCCTGGGAGTCAGGGAGGAAAGCCGAGCCGGAGGTGCTGCTGCTAAAGTCAGACACCTGCTCCTCTGGAGTCTGGGTAAACGGAGAGGTGTTTGTTGGGAAGTAGAGAGCAGAGGTTTGAGAGGGGGTGCTGCTCTCTGGTGCTGACAGATCAGAATCCGTAGCAGCAGAAAATGTGGCTGTAACAGAAAGACGATGGTGACTATGGGTGGGCTGGAGAAGCTGAGGAGAGGACAGTAATAGTGAGCTGGCACTATGTGACGGCAGAGAGTGGTCCAAAGACAGGCCAGGAAAGCCCACACCTTCTAGTGATGTTGGAAAGGTTTCTACTTCAACACTAGAAGATGGAAGCAGAACCAAGCTGGAATAAAATCCCAAACCGGCAGAGCTCTTGGCTGATGCTGGCAGTGGTGCATGTGCAGAGGTATGCAACCAGGATGAAGGTACCGACGTCTCAAGAGAACAGCCACACACCATGTCCATGTCGCTTGCTAGGAGGAACCCATCACCACTGAACTCAGGAACTACAGACTCAGTCATGCTGCCTTTTGCAAACCTGGAGTCCTGGAAGCCGGTTGTTTTCGGTTCGGACGAGCCCAGAATAGCAACAGAATAAGTGAAATCCCTAGAAAACAGAACTGAAGGCTGCAAGGAAGGGCTGAAAGAAAGAGAGAGCATTGAGGAGGAAACATCCATCGAGTCGGACAGTTCAGCTGAGACACTGGAGTGTGCCAAGTCCCAAACTGTTTCGAGTGGAGGGGTTTTACCGAGTACAGAGAAATCACCTGAAGACCCAGACAACAAAACATCATTATCTCTACCCCCAAACCCAAGGTCAGAGGACAAAGAGTTCACCGTGGGACCAGGCAGGGAGGCTGAGGGGTGAGGGAGGTGAGGCAGGGTGGAAGACAGGAGGAGGGGGGTAGAAGTAGGAGCCAGTTCTTTGCTAGACAGAGACCCAGTGGCAGCATGCTGGGAGTCTGGATTACTGGTTGACAACACAGGCCACAGGAAGGAGGAGTCATGCAAGCGAGCAGAAGGAGCTGCGCTCGGGTCCAAGGAGTCACACAGAGGGGAGGAGGAGGGGAAGACAGAGCTGCTCTCACCGTTTGACAGCGACTGCGTGGCTTCCACCACAATGCCACTCAGCATGACAGAGGGAGCTGTGGAGGAAAAAGGAGGAAGGCTGGAGCTTGTGGCTCGATGGTGGACAACTTCTGTGGAGGCCGATATCTCCACCTGAAGAGAATCTCTGGTGCTGTCCGGGTTTACGGCTTGGGTCTCTGCTGGCATGAAGGCGGACGGTGATGTTCCACCATTGTCTTGGTCAGTAGGGGACACTGTGGCTGGATGCTGAGAAACAGCCTTGGTAGCTTCTACCTGCATGTCAGGGGCTACAGGGTAGGTGCTTAAACCGCTTCTTCCTTTTTCAGATGAGCTTTCACCATCAAGGCCTCCATCTGTGTCTGTATAGGGGAGGGGCAGAGGGGTAGGACTTGAAGTGAGTGGATCTTCTGTTACGTAATAGAAGAGACTGTTGCTTCCAACACCCGGACCCTCTCTGGCATCATCTGGTGGTTGTAAGGAAGTACTGTGCTTCTCCATCTCCTCCGAAGGCCTTAAAACATCAGCAGACTGGCTCGCAATCACAGCCGGTTCAATGGTGGCTCCCTCACTGGACTTTCCTGTCGGAGTTCGACTTCCAGGCAGGAGAAACAAAGGTGGTGCTGATGTTGTAGTCCTGGGTGAGTTTGAAAGAACCCGGTCCAAATAGTTGTTCTCAGTTGGGTCCACCTCATTCCAGGAGAAGTCAGGCTCATTATAGTCCTGTTTGTGGAAATGGAGATTGGAAGGAGTTAATGGCAATGGTGACGGCATGCATGGAAAAACAGGAGTCAGGTTAGCTTACCTCAAAGTCAGTTTCTTCAGAACCTGGATCCAGAGCGTCTTCTGAGGAGAGGAACAAGTGACAAGCAGAGAAAGATCAAGCCATTAAAAAAGAAAATTACAATAGTTGATTGATAAATAGTGAACAGTCAAGAGCCTAAATCCTGAAATCATTGGTTTGGATAAATAAGGCAGGATTTAAAATAACTGATGAAAAGATGGAGCCTATTAAAGCTAGGTTCACAGAGGCACCAACATTCATTATATCCTAATTCACATGCCGGCATCTTTTAGGAAAATGTATCAAACATAGTCAAAAACATGCAGGAAAGAAAGGCGTGGTCATGCAAAGATCAGAATAATCCTGCAAGCAGAAACAAACACCTCTCTAAAAATCGCTTAAAACGAGTTAAATGTGTTTTTTTCTGACTCTCCATGTCTGGATCAGGAGGGGGAACAACTCAGAGGATCACAGGACACAGAAGGGTTTCAGGGCAGAAGTGGGTCTTTGCACCCTTACCTTTCTAAGGCTAAGTTACACATCATGGAGACCAGAAGAGCGACTGGTCTGTGGAGCATGAAGGGCTTTAAAAAGGGCTTTAGGGCTGAACTACTGAGGGTTTGGACAAAAGGCTGCAAATTATACCGAAAGTAAACCTTCTATCATATTACCTAAAGTATTGGGCAACCTTCCAAAAATCCCAGAGTTCACACCTTCCAATCCTGTTCATTACCACAGCTGTAGAAAACCCAGCGTTCCCAGCACAGACCTGGAAGGGTGGGCTGCTCTCCAGCTGGGTTAGAGGATCATGGTGCAGGCCTGGCTTTCAGGAGCTCATGCTCTGTGTAGATCAGGGGTGGGACATTCCAGTTCATTAGGGACGCTATCCTGCAACTTTTAGATGTGCTCTTGGTTCAACACACCTGAATCAAGGAATTTGATGATTGAGAGGACTCTGCAGGAACTGTCTGCATACTGAGAAGGTAACTCAACCATTTGATTCAGGTGTTTTGGACCAAGGATGGATCTAAATGTTGCAGGATAACAGCCCTCAGGGACTGGAATCGCCCACCCCTGGTATAGAGGACCCTGGCTGGTCTGCACAGTGTCACGTACTCAACCCAACATGACATGACTGAGATAACCAGAGCAGAGCTTTTGGGTACGGCTATCTGATCCACGACCAGAATCTGACCATAACATCTCCAAAACACACTTACCTCATTTACAGTTTTTGGGTCACAGTAGTGTCTGTGCAAAATGGGATAATGGGAGGTCCTTAAAGTGAATCTGTTTACAAACGCAGGCAACCCAAAAGCTTTAGCTAATATGCTGCATATGTAGCCATTAAAAGCCTCATCTTGACCATGAACTGATTTCCTTCTATGACTTATTGTTGTGATCCAGATGAAAAAGGAAATCCAGTAAATTAAAGCATCTTTCTAATAATCTTTACAGATTCATCACATCAATCATTCTGGATTAAATTATTTGACATGAGCTCAAATTTGGAAGATCTGAGATCAGAAAAACAAAGAAAAACAGGAGAGGAATCCAGCCCGTTTAGTTATTGGTGTATAAGTTGGTATCAGATCAGCAGGGCTTTGACCATTCTATCCATAAACAGTAAAGATGCGTTCCTTCTCACTGATCATTTTTATATATATGCACTATATTATACTTTATTTTGATATATGTCTGGTATTTTGCTGCTGTTTGGTTTTTTAAAGTGATTCATGAAACAGCTGGATTCATTCAAATCTAAAACCATCAAAATGTTTGCATTTTTTTATGAAACAAACTTATCTAATCTTAGGACACAGATGATTATTTTTATTAAATCTGAACCGTCCATCTATCTTTTCATCTGTTTATGGTGCATTTAGGCTGTAAGCTTAATATCTATGGTGCAAACATGCAGTGTTTTGGTTTGGTGTTATCAGTGTGATGCAGAGTCTGCGACATGTTTTAGAGTTTCTCAACAGTTCATCAGTCGGATGGCGGTGGGGAAGAAGCTGTTGCAGAACCTGCTGGTCCTGCATAGAACTAACTTTAAAATGTTTCTCACATTTTAAATAATTTGTAACTTATTTTTTTGTGCAGGATTATTCAGATTTTACTATGGTTGGATTAGCTGTCTCATGGATCAGTTTCCTGTTACAGACCAAGGTTTGCCATTATATTTGCTGTTGGTCTGTCCTAAAAAGCATCTTATAAATTGTTATAAACATGAACTGTGATTACATTTGAGTCTGCTGTTAGTTTAAGTCGGTGGAACTTCACTTTTTTTAGTTTTAGCTCAGGCTTGCTATAAGTTTCAACCTTTGGGGGAATAAAAATCTGAGATGTGAGATTTATAATGACTCATAGCTTGTCTTTCTATATAAAAACCAAAGCATCTCTTTCAAAAGAAACAATCTGTTTAGATTTCATGAATTTACATTTGTATTGCTTTGTTTCTGAAAGTGAAAGATATACTCTTTACTTTAACAGCCAACATGAATGAAGCATTTGATGCATTAAAGCCAATTAAATAAGAATGAATATCAATGTTTTAAAAATGTTATTAGTTCCCACCATTCCTGAATGCAACACCTGGGAGAGTCCCTGTTGGTCAGGAAAGCAGGCCCAGAAATGTGAAACTGAAAGTTTTTTTTTTTTTTTTTTTCTATTGATTTTAGCTTTCATTTTTTGAAACTAACTCTGTGGATCCATTTTGCAGTTTCTCTAAATTCAAATGCTCCTTACTCACACTGAAATAGAGTTGTTGTTTTTATTTAACATGGGCAAAATTAATAATTTATTGAAAATAAATATCAACTGAAATATTCAAAATCACACATTATATATATATATATATATATATATATATATATATATATGCAGAGAAACATACAGACATTTATCTCACTAAAAGTGTCAGAAGGAACAGATAGCAGAAGAAAATATGAAGGAAAAGATGGAAGATGGCCCAATAGACGCAAGCTAAGCCTGACTGGTTGATCTAATTTAGAAGGAGGTCATAGGAGGAGTCCAGAGTCAGGCTAGCATCAGTTACCAGAAGAAATTGCTTTTAGATCAATCATTGCTTTAGCATTAAAATATAGAAACAGCCCAGAGAGAGGAGGAAGAGGAAGATGGGCAGGAAGATAAAGAAAAACAAGGTGAAAAAGAAGAAGCATTAAGTTCAGCAGGAAAGTAAAACAAACGAGAACAAAAGAACATTTCTTCACTGTTAAATCCACCATCAGTCCTTCAACAATCATGTTTCAACAATCTTTAAGTAAAAAGTTAAAGAACATTATTTGGACTATCATAATTTAGTGTTCTTCAAGCAAGAAGCAATAATAATAAATAAGAATTCTATGAAACTTAAAAAAAGAAAAATGAAACTCAGACATCTGCTTTCCACCATGCTTTAACAGAATGAGCTAGAAAAACTCCTCAAACAGGCCTGGACTAAAAATCATGGCACTTCTAGAAAAGACAAAAATCCAAATGGACACGTTAAATCACAGCGTGCTCAGTAGTTAGCAAACGTTGGACTGAAGTTATGTTTTTGGCTTCATGAAGTGAGGCTCATTTAACCTTTTATCATCTGGTTCAATGCGTCTGGCATGTAGAGCAGTGATACTGTTAAGCCTGCTCATTACTGCATGATACCCGCTAGAGGAATTCAGAAAATTAGGTCTAACTGAATAATATTGGTAAGTGCAGAATTTTAATTTGAAAGTTTACTTGTGTGGCTAACAGTGTTGTCTTAGCATCCGTGTATGTGTTTTCCTGTATCTATGTGTTTATTTGTTGTATTTTGGAATTCAGCGGTTGGGTGTTAATATTGTCTGCTGTTCCTGTCTGTTGATTACATTTGTTGGAGGATGTGTTCAATCCCTCCTTATGGGTTGTTTTTCAAGAAAATTTATAACATTTTAAAACCGAGGTCACGCTCAGTGGTGAGACAGCAGGTGTGTTCTCAGTCAAAGAAAGACTGCAGGTTAACCTAAATAAATAAAGAAAAGGCTGCCATAATTTGTTCATAATGATAAATTAACCAAAGTGAAAGAAGCAAACTTACCGGGGTCGTCGATGGGCATGACAACTGTCAGCGAGTCACTCACGCGTCCACGCAGGCCATTGGAGCAGATGGCCACCACACGGATCTCGTAGGTGTTGTTGGGCAATAGGTCATCAAGTATTGCCCCCTGGTGGTGACAGAAGAGATTTGCTTTGATTAGCATTTTTTTTTAAATAGTCTGGTGAGGTGAGGCATGCATCAACTGGAAGCTTTCTATCTCTGATACCTCCAGACTGTAAGGCGAAAGCTGCTGTTTTAATGGAAACAACTCTTTGTTGTTTGTCTCAATATGTATCTCTGTTTGACGATTTAGTTACATTTCTAATCAGGTAATGCATATAAGATGATGTTGATAGTAAACCATTGGCAGCTAATGGAGATTCTTCCTCTACTCTTTGTGTTTTAAAGTGCGAGTTAGTGGGGCCTGTGGAGTTAGGAAGCTGAGGCAGAGGCATTTCTTGCAAGAAAAAAGGTTCAAATGTATTTAACGTCCTCAGACGGAGAGATAGAGCCCTGACTGAGGCAACCTCAGTACATACATTTATACCTTAAACAAATCCCAACACACACCCCCCCCCCCCAGGGGAACCAACCCACCCCCTGTTTTATGGGGGCCCTCAGCACCTGCCTAGTATTGCCTTATGGTAAATCCCCCCCCAGGGGAACCAACCCACCCCCTGCATCAAGAACTTTCTCACACTTGACCATTTGGAGGAAAAACAACTTGATTTCATCAAAGCCGTTCCCTGTTAGGTGAATATATCTTTCAGTTGCCAGATGGATCTCCTCAAAACAGCAGTCCTCGCCTTCATGCCATGAAGGAAGCTGTGAAACTCATTATCTCTCAAGACCTTCGTTTGGAGCCTGTGAGGGTAAGAACAGACATTAGCCTTTGGACCATTACTCACCGTATCCTGGTATCCGTCGGTCAGGTATTCGGAGAAGGCAGACTCTTTTGCATTGGCCAGCCGGTAGGTGATGGAGTATCTCTCGATGTTGGTGTCGTGCACTGCCCGGGGACGCTCCCATACCACCAGCATACTGCTGAGGTTATGGGGAGCTGCCTGGATGCTCTCAGGCTCTGAGCTGCACACTGAAAGAAAAACAAACAAACACAATGGCAAAGTTAAATAAAGATACAAGGAAGCAATTTGATACAGGTTGGGACCTTAAAAAGAAAATGCTAGGATTAGATTATCATTATTAAGATCAGTGGGAGATCAATAACATCATATCAGCTCACTACAGTTTATTTGTTTTAGAAGCTAGCATCATCAGTGGATGCTAATATTTCTGATATTGGAATAAAAAAATAAAGTATACCGTTTGGCATTGAATTCCTAGCAGGTGGTAATGAAACAATCTCCAGAACTGTTGATAACAACATTTTCAACTGCCGCTGCATTTAAGCCATATACTCGTACTCATCATCTCCCGCTTTATCTGGAACTGGGTCGCAGGGGCAGCAGACTAAGCAGAGACTCCCAGACTTCCCTCTCCGCAGACACCTCCTCCAGCAATGTTGGGGGAAGCCCTAGGCGCTCCCAGGCCAGCCGAGAGACATTGTCTCTCCAGCGTGTCCTGGGTCGCCCCCTGGGCCTCCTCCTGGTGGGACGTGCCTGGAGAACCTCCCGAGGGAGGCATCCAGGGGGCATCCAAAGAAGTTGTCCGAGCCACCTCAACTGACTCCTCTCGATGTGGAGGAGAACCGGCTCTACACTTAGCCTCTCCCCTCCTTGAACCGCCACCTTAACGTGGTGGAGGGGTTTCAGTGCCTGGGTGATCCCAGAGGCTATGTTGTCGGGGGCTAAATGCCCCTGGTAGGGTCTCCCAAGGCAAACAGGCTCTGGGTGACAGGTCAGACGAAGAGCAGTTTTAAAAACCCTTATGACGAGGACTACAGCAAGGCACGCGACATTGCCCGGTACGGCGGAGCCGGTACCCCACCCTGGAGCCAGGCCTGGGGTTGGGGTTCGTAGGCGAGCGCCTGGTGGTCGGGTTCTTCCTCGCGGGACCCAGCCGGGCCCAGCCCGAAGGAGCGACGCAAGGCCATCCCCCGGTGGGCCCACCACCTGCAGGGGGAACCATGAGGGACCGGTGCAGCCGACTCCCACCCAGCTTCTTTTGTCTGTGGATTTCAGGCCTTAATACGGGAAACATACGCCGGTGTTCCGCCTGAAGTAACATATGTAGCTACCAGGTTATTTCTGTAGAGGAGTCTGTGCTCGATGGCCGACTCAGAGGAGATGACATCAAGGAGATGAATGTAATGTCTTTTCCTGCGTTTTAAACTAAATTGAACTCAGTTTTTTTAAACCTGCCTGCTGAAGTAGATGAGAAAACTATCCAGTTCTGGTCGACGGGCTGAACAGTGACGTAACTGCTGTCCGCAGAGGAGCCGCTAGGAGCCTCTGACCTGTGCCACACGATTCTGGGACGGTTTTGAACTGTTAAACTGCTGGACCATGACCCATTGGTCCACCTGCTGTTTGTAGCTGTGCTGCTGCCATCTGAGCGGCTGCTACAAGCTAACCGCTGCCTTAAGGAGACACCCTTTTTCAAGGCTGCAGAACCGAACCTGAGCGGACAGTAACCACCCTTCCCATCCTCCATTCCACTGAGCTAACAAATAAAGCCCATCCTCTCATCTGATGCTAGATAAATACTCTGCTTGGCGAGTAGAATAGATCTTTTACAGGTGTTGTTTGTGTTTTATTTGGAAGAAGCTTCTGATTCAACAACTGATGGTTTTTTAGTCAGATTTCTGAACTGAATGCTAATGCTAACTGAGCCTGACTGAACAATCCATGCTGTGTGTTACTGTCTGCTTAATTTCTCTTTTTCTATTTGTTTGAAGAGCTAAGCTACTACAGTTGTACTCGCTAGCATCGTTAGCTCCAAGCTACCCTTATGGTAGCAGCCATTTTGTGAGTGTCAGGTTTCCTGTCTGTGTGTGTGTTTTTTCTGTGTTTGTCTCCCTTCCTCCACCAGGAGGCACCTGGTTCTGGTCCGCCTCTCTACACACCTGCTGTGAGTTATCTCATTAACGGAGTGCTCTTAAGCTGCTGACTGCCACTACCTCGACGCCAGAGAGTTTGCCAGTTTTGGGTACTCTAGCCAAGCTGAGTTTTGCTGAGTCAAACTGAGTTCTTGTCAACCTGAGTTTTAATCTTGTTTTTGTCTTTGCCTCTCGGCAGGAAGTCATCCTGCAAACTGGATGTATGTTTCGGACCTTCTCTACCTGGAAGGATCATCTGAGCTTCATACAGAGCTAAGGATTCAAACTGGAGGTTTGAATCCACTTTCCCCCAAGAGATCATTTGAGCTTCACACTGAGTAAGGGATTCATCTCCACTATGAACCGTTTAAGTACCGCAGGAAATCTGAGTGGCAGTCAGCTTCTCCGTTTGCCTACTAACAACCGCATTCTGGGTAAACCCTGTCCGCCCTCCACTGAATCAGACAAACACTGAAATTTCAGCACACAGACTGGAGTCTAAGAGTCAGCAACTTCTCTCGAAATTACCAAATCTCTCGAAATCTACCAAATTCTCCTCTTCAAGTTCGAGAATCAAAATTCCTACTGAACCATGAACTAACCCTAGTGTCTTCCCCTCACCTTTCAGTTCCGGTTAAGCAGTGTTCAGAGCAACACTGGATTCTTCACAAACTCCTAAATAAACCTGTTAAACCTTTCCCCTGGTCTCTCTGAATTGGTCTCTCTGCATATGGGTCCGAGATTTGATAAAATCATGACAGTGAGTTCTCTAACTCTTTTGTTCTATCTGACCCAGATATCCTGTCCAGCTGAACTAATCCATTCTGTCCACTGTAACTAAATTTTAATGTATTCACTGTTTTGATTGCATTTAATAGCTCTGCATCAGAGTTATTCACATTGCTAATGTATTAAAGGACACCTTGAATGCATGAAGCCTTAAAAAGAGCATTACTCAGAGACTTTTGAACGGACTCTTAGATGTCCTTTTCCCTTTGTGTTTGCTTTTATTTCCTTGTGCTTATTTTCAGTAGTGTTTAGTGTTTTAGATGCAGTGATACAGTGATGAGGATTATTAGCTTATAAAGGTACCATTGTATTTTAGCTCATGGTCTTTTGTGGTTAGTTTATGCAGTGAATGATTTATCACTCAGTTCAGATCCACCGTCCTTTGGTTGGTGATTAATAACTTTGCTGATAGCCGTAGCATAAATGACTAAATTGGTGAAGCTAACTGGATTCTAACAGCCAGTCCAGGAGTCCAACCATCATGTAAAAGACTAAGAACCTTGGTGAGAAAGCAAATTACTGTTATAATAATTCATCTAATAATCATGAATTGGTTTTAGCCTCAATTTGAATGATTAGCCCCCTGCCAGGGTTTCTTTTATCCCCTACATAGCTGTGACCTCAATAAATCGATAGGTTTTAGTGGGTGGGGCTTCAGACTCCAATCTGAGCTGGAATTCTTTCAATAGTTAATTTCCTCCTTTACTTTTCTGACACTCAATAATAATAACCCTTCATCTAATCTTTGAAGAGATGTAATAACCATGATCCTGTCATATTATAACTGAAATATAAAACGTGTTACATAGCATATTAAACATTTCCATGAGTGAGTGATTCTGTTTTTTGGGCGGCTTCTCTCTGGCACGGTACTGAATAAGGTTTCTAGTATCTAATGATGAAAGTCATGTTAAGTATACTGTGGGAGATAGAACTCTCTTCCTTCTTACATTAGAAAACAGTTTGTTTAAGCTTCTGATAGATTAGCCACTCTCAGCTAAAGCTATGGTTAGCCTCTAGCTGCTAAAGTCTCTGGTCCCAGGAAGTTATCCTTTGGCTTCTATTAATTACAGCTCAGAATAACCTTCCAGTAACCAGGCAGTGCCTTTGATGCGGAAAGCTAAAACTGAAATTGCTGGAATAATTCCTGGGTTTTTAGGAATGATTCTGGGTCAAAGATAAGATTAGTGCTAATGCAGATGAAGGATGAAGTCCGATCTGGGATTATCACTGATTAGAAGTGGCTGAGGGGTCAGTTACAATGGGCAGCTCAAACTGTGCAAACATAAACATACTTCCTTCTCAGCAGAGCTGGACTAAAACCTCAGTTCTCACTACTGACTGCTTCCTTTCCGATCGTTATTAATGGAAACAGACCAGATATGTCACAGTCAGAACATAAACCCTCGTGTCGTTGTTTTCTCTTTGGGAAAACAGTAACAGAGCCAAGCTTTGGCCACTAGAGGGCAGATACCGCAGGTTTCATTGAAGCACCTTTATTTGCTTGAACTGAATCCACCTTTTATTATTTATTTACAACTTTGCTTTGTTTGTTCTGCTGTTCTTAAAAACATTGGATCACCCTTAGCAGAAATAAATGTTAGCATACTACACATCAGAACTCAAACAACTTTCAAGAATCTTTTAGTTATCAGGCTCCTTTAGATCACACATTTCATTTTAAGGTACTTTAAAAAGACGATTCAATCAAATTCAGTTACCTCATAAAGTTACCTGAGACAACGGTTTTAGATTAAAATTAAAAATGTAATTGAAAATGCTATAGATCAGGGCTGCTCAGTTGTACAGTGGGTAGCCTTGCAACAAGAAGGTTCTGGGTCTTTCTAAGGGCTATGGCACTAGTTTTTTTTTTTATTTGGACAGTAGGCTGACGGGAAAGGGGGTATAGAAGGAGAGACATGCGGCAAAGGAACACAGGCTGGATTAGAACCCGCGTCAGCCACGTCATGGACTAAGGCCTCCATACATGGGTCATGTGCGCTAACCACTACGCCACCAAAGCACGCCCCTGCGCAGGGTCTTTCTCATTGGACTTTGCATGTTCTCCCTGAGCATGCGTGGGTTCTCTCCGGGTACTCCTGCTTCCTCCCACAGTCCAAAAACATGACTGTTAGGTTCATTGGCGTCTTTAAATTCTCCTTAGGCGTGAGTGTGTGCATGAATGGTTGTCCTGTTTGTGTCAGGATTCCTGTCTGTGTGTGTTTTTTCTGTGTTTGTCTCCCTTCCTCCACCAGGAGGCGCCTGATTCTGGTCCGCCTCTCTACACACCTGCTGTGAGTTGCCTCTTTAACGGAGCGCTCTTAACCTGCTGACTGTTTGCCAGTTTTGGGTACTCTAGCCAAGCTGAGTTTTGCTGAGTCAAACTGAGTTCTTGTCAACCTGAGTTTCAATCTTGTTTTTTGTATTTGCCTCTCGGCAGGAAGTCATCCAGCAAACTGGATTTTTTTCGCACCTTCTCTCCCTGGAAGGATAATCTGAGCTTCAAGGTGAGTTGAGGATTTAAACTGGAGGTTTGAGTTTACTTTTCCTCAAGAGATCGTTTTGAGCTTCACACTGAGCAAGGGATTCATCTCCACTATGACTCGTTCAGGTACCGCAGGAAATCTGAGTGGCAGCCAGCTTCTCCGTTCACCAACAGACAACCGCATTATGGGTAAACCCTGTCCGCCCTCCACCGAATCAGACTAACGCTGGAACTACCGCACACAGACTGGAATCAAAGAGTCAACAACTTCTCTGGAAACGTGAGTCAGTAACCTATTTCTCCTCTTAAAAAATCAAATTTCCCACCGAGCCTGAACTAACCACAGTGTCTTCCCCTCACCTTTCAGTTCCGGTTGAGCAGTGTTCAGAGCAACACTGGATTCTTCACAATCTCCTAAATAAACCTGTTAAACTTTTTCCCTGGTCTCTCTGTTTGGTCTTCTGCATTTGGGTCAGATCTTTAGTCAAATCATGACAGTTTGTCTCCCTGTTTCCCTGCGATGGGCTGGAGACCTGTCCAGGGTGGCACCAGCACCCCTTGCGACCCCACTGGGATAAGCATGATTGGAAATGGAATGGATGGGCTATAGACATCAACCGAATTGATTTATTTAAATAGAAATGTATGTTGAAGTTTTGCCCTCTGATGATGATGTTTGTTTGTTTGTAGTCTAGACCAGAAATAATAATAATCTCCATCAAAATCATCATCAACAAAAATCTTAACCTTTACCAAAGCGGGGGCAAAAATAACATTGCTGCCTCAGCTCTGATATAGTAACCGGTTCTGAATAGATAAAGTTTTCTTCCACTGATACAAAAAACCCTGCAAAGAATAATTGTTGTAAAATTACTTAATGGGAAAAAAAAGGTTTAATATTTAAAAGTTTAGTGTGTTTTTTTTTAAAGGAATTGAGAGATGCAATCAGAATTTCTTTCTAAATTACTTACATTTAGAGCAAAGTACACAGATGTAGATGAAATCAAAACTGTTTAGCTTGTAGTCGTCGATACAGAAGATGCATTTTTTCCCAAAACAAGACAGCATCTGATGGAAGCAGCCTGATAAGCCTCGCAGGAACTGCAGTGAAATGCTTTTTAATCAGTCAGACCAACCTGGCGTTTGGACCTCCTCGATGCCGGTGTAGGAGGAGAACACCTGACCCGTGAACTGCTCCTGCTGATCCCTGTAGTTGTTCTGCAGGTAGTCCATCAGCATAACATATCCAGCCTGTTGCATCGTCATCACTTCACAGAACATCTCCAGCTGCAAACATGAGGGTAAAACAATGGTTAACTCAAACATCCTCTGGCTGTCAGCTGTGATACATTCAGACCTATAAAATAAATAAACCACCAAGGTTAAAGCATCATATAAATTAGTCCAAAATATAAAGGCAATGTGTGACAGAATCTGAGTCAAAAACAGGGGATCTGACTTTGGTTCCCCCATCATGTTAATATCAGCTCATCATGAACTAACAGTATACAGGGGATTTTTTTATTCCTGAAAGCTTCAGCATGCTTATTGTTTCCCAGCAGGGCAGCTGACAGCTCAGACTTCCCAGCTGTGTTCAGGGGAAATGTTAGTTGCTGCTAATGAAAGCGATCCATTGAATACATCACCACCATCGTTACGTTTAGTGCTTTCAGGTTTATAGAACCAGGACTGAGGAGCTCTGTCTTCATTTATAGGACAAACATGTCACCACTTTACTGACACGAGATGAGCTAAACTGGATCATGCAACATGATAATGGCTCTGAACACACTGGCCCCACTAAGAAACAACATCATGATGTGGAAAGCTAGTGGTAGATAATGGGATAAACTGCGAGAATCCTGGGACTAAACCCCCCCCCCAAAAAAAAACTGCAACTGTTGCAGAGCTTCATGGTCCAACAGGACAACGAGCAGAGACCTACAGCCAGAGCTTCAGTGGATGGTTTAGATCAAATCAGTGAGATTACATTAATCTGTTACAGCCAAAAGTGGTTTTAGATGCTTTTCAGATTTTATCTTTAGCAGGAGGTGGAAACATGTTGCCATTTCTACAGAGGGGTAGCAACAGCCAATCACAGCAGTTCTTTTCCTCCACAGTAAAAGTCAGCAGGCATTGGGGAGCCAAGCATAAAGTCGTAGGGAAGTGGCTGTTCCAACCGTTGCATTTCCGAATTCTGCCAAGTGGTGCCAACTTTACACAAGTGAATAAAGAGAATGTGATTGGTCGATTATCAAGGGGGTAGGATCGTTGTGGCAGAAGGTTCGCAAACAAGTTTAATTGTGGCCGGTTTGTCAGAAGCATCTTGCTAACCAGTTAGCAACTTAGTGCTAGTAGGTTCCCAATGGGAAATTCCATTGGGACCAAGTAGCACTAAATTGCTAACCAGTTAGCAACTTAGTGCTAGTAGGTTCCCAATGGGAAATTCCATTGGGATCAAGTAGCACTAAATTGGTGACTTAGAAACGACACTGTCAAGGTACGCTATGGACAGTGGAAACATGCAAGAGGAGGAGAGGTTTGCGTCAAAGGTTGAGGATGAGTCTCCTCTGTCAT